TGCATCCTTGCAGCTAACAGATGTCTACTCTTGTCGAATGAATTGCTTTATGTTTCACGCACTGCTGGCCGCAGATGTGTCACTATAGCAACATCATTAATTTCAGATCTTACCGGAAACGTGCACTCCAATCAAACCTAATTATACCACATAGCTTTCTTGTCCACAAGAAGGAAACCATAATGCAATTATTGGGACATTTCATTTTCTATTCTGCTGTGGCAAATGAGAGGGCCACTGTGATGGACGCTTCATGTCAAAAAGCTTATTAATGAAGCACAAACCCAATTTACAATCATATGAAGGACCACCTTACAATTATGTTGGTAATGTAAGGCTCCTCAGACAACAGCTCATTCTGGATCACTTCTCTGAGAACTCAGGCCACTCAGGAGAAGCATGAAAACTGCTAGGTTCCTGGTTCCCCTTCTGATCCCCAGAGTCAGAATTCTTCATGCTGACAGCCAGCCAGCCACGACTAGAACCTGTCTGGACTAGGGACGCCAGGGGATGGCTAACACCTGACAGGCCTCTGAGATATACACTCAGAGGCATGTAAAGAGCAAATTTAACTATGCAATTAAAATATGACATATTAGGTGGAAAGAAGTAATGATTTATGGTTCTGGAATGTAGTATCATGCCGTCAATAACAAGCGTGTACTGTCTCAACTGGACACAAAAGGGGTAAGGCAGGCTGTGTGATTTTTCTGAGATTTCTATTTCTATGTTTCTGATGCCCCATTATCTAGATCTCAAATGGAAGAAACTCTTTGTACTGCTGAGGGATCTTACCGAGATCATAAGTAGTTCAAGGGGCAGTCAGGACTCAATTCTATGTCTATCTGATGTCAAAAAGTCAGACACTGCGAAACATCTGTGTTTTCATAGAACAAAATAAGAAAGTGTTAGCCATTTGCAGTAAGAGGATGGTTATATGATTTGGTCAGTGTGGGCTTCAGGAGAGGCTGTGGCACTGCTACCACCTCTGTGGTCCTAAAGAGCCGGTCCAGATCCTTTCTCTGGCAAGAGTAGTGGAAGGTCCAGCTCTGAGACCAGGTGGTAAATCTAGAGTTCCCTGGGAGACATACCAGAGCCACAGAGAAAGGCTATAGCCAGCATGTCTAAATGTGCATGGGTTGACACATGGTCCACCCTGTGATTACTGAAAAAAGTCCCACACAATATTCCAGTCCAAACAATTTAGAAACCCCCCACAGTCTGTCTTTAGAAAAGCAATGACGCACATCAGGTTCTTATCAGTATCTACTGTACAGTTTTGTATAACTCTTCTCAAATCTCACTTACCAATTACTTGGTTCAGGAAGCACATTTTGCCTCATGATCCTAGGCAAAGACTACCTACTCTACCCTGATGGAACTCAAAATGCTCCAGCAAACAAGAGGAAACTAATTAAGGAGAATCCCATTATTGTTTAAAATGCAAACTAATTAAACATTCTGAGGGTGAATACTGTCATGAAATGTTTACTTCTAAATGACATTAGACAGAGACACAGAAAGAGAAAGAACTAACTACTTGGGCTCTCTATAGCTCTTAGTACACACTTATTTGAAATGAAGATAAAAGAACAGGTCAGCACCATAGTCGAAATGCAACTGTGGATGCTGCCTCACCAGGGCCTTGAGTAAGTACCCTGGATGCATTGTGTCCATCCCATAAGAGGATATGGTGGTCAGCCAGTCCCTGGTGTGACATCTGTACTTGGGGCCCACATAGCACAGGGCCTGTGCCTTCAGAAAGAGCAATGCTGGAGCTGGGCTCCTGAGCTCCAGCCCACAACAGGACAGAGGCCTTAGCCTCTCCTCCGATTTATCAGGAGGGTCTCAGACCACTGGTAGTGATGGTAGAGGGTCACTGATGTTCAACAGTGAGCTGGGGTTGGAATTATCAGACAAAGATTTTGAAAAAACCACCAGAGAACATTTTAATTAAAAAACTACAAATTTTCTTAAAACAAATGAAAATATAGAAAATTTCAGCAAATTGAAATGAAACCAAATGGAAATGATAGGCTGAGACAAACGCCTTAATGCACAGGCTTAATGGTAAAAGGGAGACAGTAGTTTAAGGGTCAGTAGATTCAGAATAAACCAACTGTAGGCCCCAGGCTGATCCACAAGAAGAGAAGTCAGCAACAACAAGTAGAACTGTAGAACCATAGGGCCTGGCAATAAAGACCCAGCACACTAGCACTGGAGTCTGAGAAGTGGAGGATGGTGGCTTGAAAACAAATGTGTTCAGAGAAATGATGGTTGAAAGCCTCCAAATCTGTTTTAAAAACAAAAACAAAATAACCACATTTACAGCCCAACAACTTAGCTAATCCAAAATTGGAAAAATCTCCAGCGAGCAAGGCTCAGACACATCATAACTGAATTTTGAAAAGCTAACAGAAAGAGCAGCTCTTGAAGGCAGCCGGTCAAGTGGTACATTCTCAGAGGGGACAGAGTGACAGCTTTCCAATCTGAACCATGAAGCCAGAGGAGATATATGTCCAAGAACTGAAAAGAAAAAAACCTGTCAAACCCCACATCCAGTACACATGAAAACATACTTAGGACAGATTCATGCCATCACACACACCAAGTGCTTCCTTGATGCGACAGAGTGCCTGCTCTCTACTTATGATGCAATGCAATTACCGGGCTCCTAAGTTTTATCTATTTATGCTACTGTATGCTGCTGCTGTACTTCTGCTCTGTTTGTACTTAGAAATGCATTAGATTTTTCTATACAATAGATCATTGGTAACCATAAACATGTGGCTGGTAAGGAGACCACTGTTGAGGAAAACCTTGAGTTGGGTGCTTAGAATTCAGTATTGTACTAAAGATACTTGATTCATTTTTCCCACAATCCTGCCCAAGTCCCACTAAGACGTGGCCTTTCGATAAATCTACACTTTTCACTTCATCACTTAACTTACTCACATTAACTTTTACTTTATTTTGGACATCATTTGACTTCTGGGAGACATCCTTTCATTAAGGGCAGAAAAATACTCAGCAGGTCACACGATGATTTAAACATCTGCCGATCATGTGGAATGGATAGAGTTTCACAGCAACAGCTTAGTGTGATACACAGGTGGGAATTGAAACTTCTTAAATTTTTTAAAAAATTAAAAATGATTATTTTTTTACCACACTTGGTCAAAAATCACATGTAATAAATCTGTGAATAAAGTGGCTTACTCTACTGGTTTTGTTAAAATGACCTAATATTCATTTGTATTAAAATCACTTATTAGATTTTCCATGTATACTGTTCACTAGGTAAAGTTGTTTTCCTTTTGCTCTTTTATTCATTTCAGATATGCTGTTACACTTCGATTCCTGAGGACCTTCTTTTTTTGATCAGGTTTCTCTATTTGCTGAAGAAGACAAACTGTAAGGAAATCTGAACAAAAATTCCTTTTTTTTTTTTTGGGGTCCAGTCGTGGGGCCTGAACTCTGGGCCTGGGCGCTGTCCCTCAGCTCTTCAGCTCAAGGCTAGCGCTCTACCACTT